CCCCCACCTTCCTGGGCAGCTTTTCCTTACGTTCTGTGGGCCTCCCGTGTCCTTCCCCCGACCGCCCTTTCCCAGCTCTTCGCGGGCTTGAGGTCTGTCTTTGCCTCAGAGAACCGGCCTGATGCTCCCGCCTTCGGTGGTCCCCCACTTCCGGCCACCCGCACCCCGAGGCACCTGCTGCCCGGGTCTGAGTCTGCGCGCAGAAGCCCTCTGTCCACACGAGCCCAAGGACTGACGAAGGCGCTTCCTAGGGGGGTCAGGCCGGATGGAAAGCGAAAGGAGGAGTTTGGAGACCTGTTAACCGCATCCTGTGCTTTCATCCTATGCTTTCGGTCACGCCGCTTCCTTTGGCGCAGACACGCGGCTCCCAGGAGGCGTCGGGGAGTCGGGCATGAAGCGTCGGTACCGTAAACGGCTCAGTACGGAAATAACCAACCTAACCCGCGTTATGGTTGCGGGTTCTGTCCGTGGTAAATACGGGAACGCTTATTTCTTTTTAGGAGAGGGTGGGCCGGCCCTCCCCGCATCCACTCTACTTTCTAATAATTTATTTTCTCAATGCCCGAGACCCTGTATCTCACCTCTTGGGAAAGGTGTAGAGAAACTGATTCATCTTCTTCTTGCTACGCTCAGGTGACCCATAGGAAAATGCAGAAATGGCCACTGACTTTCTGGATAGAAAATAAATATGCACATAAACAGGGGACTGAAGGTTCCGTGACCCTCGCCACGCAGCCCGGTGCCCAGCGTAACGTGGGAGCTCAGTAAATACGTGTCGCACGAAGGCTCACTTTGAAATAACACAAATTCTTATTTTTCCCCCTTTTTTCAGCACTGGCTAGAACTCGAATAATAAAATCTCCGGGCTGGAAGATCATCTCCTCCAGGTGCCCGTCGGAGGCCGAATTTCGTCTACACCATTTTGGCCATCTCTGCGCACTCCGGATTTGGGCAATTTTTCCTTATTTTAAGCCAAAGACCATATTGCAAGTATAGACAAAGTGAGTCTACACGCTTACACTCCCATATTTACAGGCATCCCACCCTTTCCTCCGGGCCACCCACCGCTACCAGCAGCACCCAACCCACGTCTGACCTTGGAGTCCCACCCCCACCCACTCTCAATGCTTCAACTACCTCTGCGGCCCCTTCACTGACGACCCCTCCACCTCGTCTCTAAGCCCGGGGCCTCCCCAGGGCTGGGTCCTGGGCTCTCTTGTGTGATCTCTCTGTAACTTCTCCTGTGTCCCTCGTCCCCATGACATTAAGCATCTTCAGTCAGCTAATGCATGGCGGTGGCCGTGACAGCTGGTCCACGCTCCAGCCTCACCTCTCCAATCAGCTCTCGGACATCTCCCCTTGGAGTGCCGACACCTGTCAGACTCCACCTGTGCCCGCCTGCTCCCTCTCCCTGTAACCAGCCTTCC